TATATAGCCACTGTCTAGCCCACCACCTGTCCCAGGTCAGAGGTAAAGTCTTTTTGGGTAACAGAAAGAAGAAAGGTGTTACAAAAGCAGTAGTAAAGCCCAAGCTCAGTATTTAGGACTAATTGGGAAGAACGGAAAAATGACAGGCCAAAAATGTGTCAAAAGCACCCTGCAGGACGCCTCTCACAGGAGAGACAAAGGGCAAATATTTTGGTGGATTTATCCAAATTGCCGCTAGGAAAAAGACTAAGAGAAATTACAGGATAAATGTAAGTCTTTTATAATTGGCAAAGCACTTCCATATTACATGTGTTTTCCAAATTATTTGAGAAAGTTTGAAAAATGCCCAACTGCTTTTTTACTTTTAAACTTCCACCGGTGTTCCTGTTTACCTAATATCACAAGTCTGTGCACTAACCATTTGAAAGCCTTGCTTCAAGAAAGTGAATTTCAACCTCACTTTGTCCCAATTAGAGCAAATACCAAGGAGGCGACATTTAAATAAATATATCTGATTCCTTCTGAGGGTGAGAGTATAGGGGACCTTTCTCACTTCTGATACCCAAAGAGAATATTTCTGTCCCTGGACCTTCCCAGGTCCTGGGATTAGGCAGGGAGGTTGTGCTTCTGAGCTGGGGCAGCAGTGAAGCAAAGAAAGCACCCAGAAGTGTGTGGAAGTGGAGCTTCTGTGCTAGTGCTCCCTGGCTCTTTTCTTAAAGATAAATGGAGGCATCAGGGCGAAGTCAATTCTCTAAATAGTAACTGACAGCCAACCACCTATAGGGAGCTTGGGTAGGCCCTGCAGGGATCAAGAAATGAGTAAACACTACTGGGAAAAAATTATTGATAATTATGTTTAGGAATATTGTGTAACAAGGCAAGCAATGGAGATGTGCATTAGAGTTTTCTATCACTGAGAAAAGTTTTTACAATTCTGTCCTAAATCTTTTGAGGTTGAAAAAAATTTCTGTTATCTTATGTCTGAAACCAGTACCTTGATACACTGCTGACTGTATATCTTACAAATAAATGAGCATATTATCCAATGTTCATTGGTCTTTCAGACTTAACAATTATTACAATAAATTGCATTGCTCCTTGAAGCCCTTCACCTCAAAGAAACGATAATGTTGAATTTATAGTCTCTAAAATCTATGTATCTTACAAATATAATGTTTACTTTTCAATTAATTTGAGTCTGGAAAGTTTAAACAGAAACAAAACACTTAAAAGTCAAAACTTCCAACTGCGTGACTAAGAAAACATTTTGGACATTATCCATATTTAACAGCCCTGTGCATTTAACTCCCTGTCTGTATAAAAAGATATTCAGAACAAACATCTACTCTTCATTTCTCCTCTCACCCCTTGTCTGGGTAGATTTTATTTATGCATTAGATGACCTTTTTGGCCATTAGAACCATCTTGCTTCAGCAGTTAATTAACACAAGTACCATAATTTAATACAGTTAATGCTACTTGATGCCCTTTAATGTAACTTCCATTAGTAATATTATTGTAGTATTACCCTGTAAATTAAAATGAGATCAAGACTAAGAGAGCCACTCTTTAATTAAGGTACTGGCACACTGCACTCGTCTATTATTCACTAGAGAAAATCACCCTGATTTACTGAAGCAGGACATCGGTAAGTCAGAATTAGTCCATGAAGATTATTAGGTTTATTGAACAATGTAAGTAACATGGAGTTGCTGAGATTGCCAACGGCCTTATGTCCTCTTTTTCCTCCATTATCTTAATAAATACACAATAAGAGTGAGTAAATGGAAGCAAAATATGTATGTAGCAAAAGAGGCATAAAAGTTTTATGATGTGATTATAGTTGTCAACAATAAAATTGGTATCAGATGTGTCACATGCTAAAAAGAACATAAATGCTACATTAGTTTAATAACAATCAAAACTAGTTTTACACCAAATAATGCCAGTCAGTATAAAACATAAAGGCCATATACACGTGCACAGGAAGTAGAAAATTGGAATTCACAGTCAATTGTTTTTGTTTCGTAGCTTAATATTCCAAGGTGAAAAAAACTTGTAGTATTATGTGTCCACTATTCTATGGAAATTTACCCACTTTCCCCAAATAACTCACGCCAATTCTCACATCATGGTGGGAGTGGTGGGGGAGTGACAGGTAGAAAAATATCATTATAATGATCAGACACAGACATGTAAAAGTAAGTTAAACATTGTAATCACATCAAGGATGGCAGAGGGCATGGGCTGAGGGAAGCAGAGACAGTTATATTTTGGAAAGTTTATATTTATGATATTCTTGAAAAGAAATTTTAGTACCTTCTTTTAGAGATCATCAAATCCTCCTATAGATAATTCACTATGTAGGAAAAAGATGACTCAGGATTTTAACCCAACTGAAATTTTCAAGCGTATATCAGCTTCTTTGCTGAAAGGGCTGTGAACCAGGCAATAGCTCAACAGTTCCCTTAGTGGCTCCATCTTCCTTATATAACTTAGAAGCTGGAGATATGCCCGAGCCATCAGGCCTTGCTTCTTTAGTCCCTCCCTTAAGACTAAAAATACCCCAGCCATCTGGTACCTAGCACAGTACATGCCAGCATCAGTTTTGCCCTGAGGAATTTGGACAGAGTTTGGAGGTGACAGAGTGGAACCTTATGGAAGGGGTTCACCTCTATTGGACCTTTCTCTTTTGCCCAGCTGCTTCTTCACCAGCTTTCAGTTGACTGGTGAACAGGAAAAGACAGTGGAGGTGAGTCCCAGAGAAGGGAGGAGGGCTCCTCCAAACTCCTCAGAACCATTGAAATACAGTTGAAGGATACTACTAGGATGAAGGATAAAAGAAAAATGATAAATCTGGTGGGATTCTACATTTCTAACATGGCATCTTTAAGTGACAGTATGTCCGACTCCAATAGAGAATGCACCAAAATGCTTTTAACTTTAAAGTGTATTTTATACTCTCTTAAGTAATCAGAGGAAACAAAAATGAATATCTAATAACAGACATAAGCCCAAACAATGTTTATTTTCCAGCCAAAAAACATCACAAGACTGCCTTTTTTATAAGTGAAAAATGAGAGTTTTAGGGGAAGTTGGGCTATAAGGATTTTGGCTTAGTTTAAGGATTTCTCAAACTGTGAGTAAGCTGACCTAGATGATTCTACCTAACAATATAGATCACACTAGGATTCAAATTCACATCTCAGCTTATTAATTTTGATATTTATTCTTGTAGATAAACAGAATGCTTGTTACTTTGTTGTCGTATGCTATTGTTAATAATATCAACATCAACTGTTTTTATATATTGTATGTTCCCAAGAATAAGATACTGGAAACTGATCTTTTGCTAAAATATTCATGAGTACAATAGCTGCATTTTATTATAAATCACAAACTCATATGAAACATCATAGCTCCACACTGCTCTCATGTCATGCCCTGGTCGTATATGAACTCTAGAACACACAAGCTCAATATTGAACCAGTGCATATTTCTCTCAGAAATATGATTTTGCTCTAAAGATATTTTCATCAAACTTCACCAAACCTTGATTAAAAGTTTTAAAAGAGGCTCCATAGCTAAAGATTCTTGACTCCTCCATGAGAAACATGAAGCCAGAACAAAGCTGAGAGTAGGTGGCCATCAGTTCCTGCTGTTCTCCATAAGTCAGATTCCATAAGGTAAAATTCTGAAACCTTTTCCACCTTACCGAGGTCATGCCCACCACCCCATTCTGCGTGCCCACTCTGGCTCTCACTTAACAGCAGTGGCCACTTCTTCCTTCTAGTGCACAAGTGTACCAGCACCATTATTAAAGGTGGTTTGAGACAACTCTCTGAAAGCCCAGGGAGTCTCAACACTCCTCCAGTCTCTGAGAACTAAGCTGCCCTAAGGGATTACTGGAAGCCAGTAATCAATGAATCCGGACTTATTTGTTTAGCTTTTATGATTAACTAAACCTACATGATGTATGTACTGTTTATATTCTTATCCTCATATATTTTGATTTAAAGCTCTCTTGGCATTTTTAGAATGATTATTGCTTTGCTTCACATTTCCTTTTTTTTTTTCCTCAATGTGCTCTATACTCCACTCTTACCTTTAGTTTTCCCAACTCATCATCTCATGCTTCAACTCCTGTCAGATGGCTATTCTGGTAGCATACCACACTTAAAAATCTGGTTGAGAATCTCTGTGTTGGTGGTCCTCGTTCTCATTATTCAAGTTTTTCATTTAAATGTCTTCAAAATCCTTGGAAACTTGCTCAATTGTGTCTCTGGTATATTATCAAAACAAAGATATGCCTGACTGGGAGCATGAATGCATTTGAACTCTGGTGCATCTGTAATTGACTGACAAAATGAAGGTAGCCTGAGTCAGGTTCATATTTTAAACGATAGTATATCCTTTTAAGATAGTAACATCCAAGAACCTGAAAAGTAGAGCTTGCCCCTCATTAATAAATGCAGTGTATTTCCTAAATGCTTTCGGTTCTGATTTAATAAATGTAAAGAGACATAACTTTCATTTCTGGAACTTTTTTGGTACGATATAACAAAACATAAACAGAGAGTTGAACCATGCTGAAACTCTCTCTTGCATTCAAAAACAATAGTAAGATGTATTTTTTGTTTTTCAGTCCCTTTTACAGAGCAGCTGGCTTTGTTCCCCTGGCTTCGTTACCTTAAAGACTTAAACCACCCCCTGACCTAGGGACTTCCTTGTTCTCAAGTAAGATGCTTTTTTTTGGCCTCTGATTTAAATTCTAAGAAATCCTGCCAGGTTCAGGTTCAGTGACAGCAACTCTGGGATCACCAATTACTGCTGAGTTAGAAGGGTCTCAAACGCCTCAGAACCTACCTCTAGGCTGGCGTTCCTGAGAAAATGTTACAGTAGAAAGGGACAAATGTCACTCTACAGCTGCAGGAGCAGCAAACTGGCCTTTTCTTTGGACACACCCATTCTCATTCAAGTCAGACAGTTGTTTTCTTACCTTCCATGAACCTTTATGTCTGAGATGGCGTAGAAGTAGCGTGCCAAGTGTAGCTCGTCTACAAATATTTCCCCAACGGCAGGTCTCAAAAGCCTTATCCTCAGGTCTGTGACAGTGAAGAAATCTCTGAGTTTCTTGGTTGTATCCAGTTGTCCGTAGAGGGAAGCCATATTGCGTAGCCAAGGTCCGGCAAAAAACGCGAACCTATCTTTGATTTCAAAGTGGATTATTTTGCTGTTGGTCATATACCCTGTGGAGTACTCTTCGGTGCAAATGATTTCTAAGACCGTATGCTGTGATAAATCCTTCACGGATTTAGGATCCATGTGGAAAGCATCTAAGCAGTCTGTGGCATAATACTGATAGGGCTGCCATGTTCGTCCGTAATCAAGAGATTTCTCCAGGATCATTTGGTCTGGACGCCCCGATTCAAAGGTAATAACTATGTTGTCTGTGAGCTCAATAGTTTTGCTCCAAGACAGAGTGATGTTAACCTGGAGAGGCTTGGGATACTCTTTCCAAGTAGCAGACTGCCAAAATGTAGAGGGATGTCTTCCTTCAAAATCAAACATCAGCTCAGGTGGATGTGCCAGCTCCGGGGTACTTGCATCACACTCATTATTGCACATGTAGGGGTTGCCCTATGGAAGAAGAAGAGAAGAGGGTGCATCAGAACACTGGTTTGACACAAGTCTTGCCATATTGCTGTTGCTGAGTGGGAGGCTAGGAGAAAAAGAAAAAAACCAACAACAACCTGTTTGCAGTAATCATTTCTATTTGCCTTAACTGGATTCTCCTCTTTAATAGCTTAAAAAAAAAAGAGGCAATATGGTAATTTACTTGTCTTATTTCCTCCCATGGTCTTTAAGAAATGAAAACAGTTTATTTATCCCATATGTGTTAGACCCATAATGTGATCTCAGAAGCACAAAGACACTGAGCAACTGTCTAACAGCTCAATACCTCCGCATCCTCTTAGAAAGATGTTATAGAAAAGCAAGGAAATTCCTCCATGCCTCAAGGACATTCCTCAAGAGCACAATTTTTTAAGAAGTCATTTTTCAAGTACAGCTTTAGAATTAGCAATGAACCGTAGATACCTGTGTCCTGTTTGGGAAACAATACCCCCATATGACATCCAGCTTCTTTTTGCTTCACCTCAAATCCATCATACTTAACTGGGTCCCTGCTTCATAAAGCTTGCTTTTAAAGCATTTACTTTGCTCACCACAAATCATTAAAATGTGGTACACTACAGGCTCTGGGGCTTGGTCCCAACATCTGCCATCCTATTAGCTAGAGGCAAGGGGATTGCTCAGGAAAGACTTTGGGTGGGGGTGTGCTCCAACTTATCAGGACAGGAAAATCCAGTACTTAATTAGAAGGTTTTTGCAGAGAATCACTGCCACTTGATGTATTACTCTGTGCCGGCCCACGGTCAGCTCTCTGTGGATGTTAGCCATTGTTATTATTTTCCCTCACACAAAGGCTAATTCCTTCACAGTCTACTCTAACAAGAAGCTGAAAATAAGTCTCCTTGTCATATATCACAACAAGTTATAACACCACTTATGCGAAACTAAATGGCTGCTCTCAGGTTTCATTGGTAGACTGATTCTATGGCAAACAATTGGCTCCCCAATTTTGGGTTATTTTGTGTTTTAAAAAATGGTATCATTTGGAGTCAACGAGTCAGGTATTTCTCTATTACCCTGTACTGGGTAATTATAAGCATGAATGGGTGAAAGAATTGATCCTCTGACATTGTCCTTAGGCTTTCTCTTGTAATTACAACTAGATTTTTTCTTTTTTCTTTTTCATGAACTGAGACCTTTTCATCATATCTGCAGGATGCATGAGCTGGGTCTCAAATAATGAATTTACACTTTAGACATTAATGCTCAGTTACCAGCTGACTCCTGTGAAATGTAAGACGAACATTGGAGACTTGCTGTGGCCTCCCTAGAGGCAACTTTCTCCTGCCTAGTCAGCCAATACTTCCACTCTCTCTTTTCCATTAATGCAACTGAATCCTAAAGCTGGCAACAGGTTTGGGGGTCTGAGTGTAATTGAGATGGGGTAGGAGAAAGGAGAGAAGGTACATTATTTGAGGACCAGAAATGTTTTAAAAATACATTCAAGGCATCAGTGATAATGGAAATGTTTCTGTTCTCTCTTGAATTTCAATTCCCTATTCTTGATCCCAGCATCTGTGGCACTATTTATAGTATCCCACTCATAGTGAGCCAATGGGGGCAAAATAAGTTTCTGTTCCAGGTGGAATAAATCACCAAATGTATTATTATTTAAACTCTCTTAAGCATACCAGAGAGCCAAATGCAGAGCTCTGCAAACTGGCAAAGGCTTTTTATGGAGGGCTATAAATATTGTGGAATCTGTCAGGATTTATAAATTCTAAATATATGGAAATGTACATTTTACTGGAAGGGGTCAGATTTACACAAATCACACCTTCATGTGAAATTTACTGGAAAAAATATGGTCACTTCAAAATCTGTCAGCATGTGGCCATCTGCACAATCATTAACTTGGATGCTACCACCTTTCTCCTGACAAAAGCATCTTCATCTGAGGTCAAGGGTATTGAAACACAGGAAATCAACTCTGCGGGATACACCAAAGTGAGTTATCAGACATTTGTATTAAGTCTTGTTGAAATACAGCATTTCCTTGATCTCTGCTTAGATACACAGAGCTCCTCAGATGGGGACAGGGTCTGTGACAAAAAAGGGGCACAGCTAGCTGACTCTGGGTGTGGGTCAATACTAGGAAACCTGTCTTAGAAAATATGCTTAAAGATATCTATTTAAAGAGTACTCGTTTCTACATTTGATAAAAGGTGTTGACAATACTCAGCGTTTATTTAGCACTTACAGATCATTTACTTTACGTACATTATCCTGAGTAATCCTTTTCATCCCTACCTTACGGAAAAGTGAGGCATACAGAAGTGTTAAGTAACTTGTCCAAGGTCATATAACAGAGTGAGTAAGGAGTGGAGCCGGAACCCACTTTTCCTGCACCTGACCTGGCCCATTCAACTCCTAAGTCAATGGAGTTCCCTATGATGCAACCTAGTCTTGGAAACAAGAGTTGGCTGGTAGAACAGAAGAGCCTATGACCAAATGAGTTTGGAAAACACAGCCTAAGGTGTTCTTGCCTTGGAGAGCCCTAATGAGCATTATCATACCTCTGAGATGCCTTGACGTTAAGAACCTTCCTTAGCTTCATATACTACCTAGTTTCAGAAACTGATTTGACCATGGAACCCCTTTTTGTTTTAGTAACCCCTATTTATATACCACATAAGTATAGATTCCTGGAGAGCATCCTTTAAGATTCTCTGCTTTGTAGTACTCTTAAAATTGTAAACATGTGGATGGATGCTAAACAACAGGGCACAACCCGAAGTTTGTTTAATGAAGACATAGCCACATCCAGCACTGTTTGCTTTTGTTCCAGAGAGGGACACCCTTCCACTTGGGCTGAGAAGACAGCCAGACCAGGATAAATGCTTACACCTACATCAAGTTGTCAGCCATCAAAACGCATGCCAGGAAAAGGGGAAACTTTCGTTTCTTTGCACTGATCTGGTAGTTTAAGCTTCATGTATTCAATAATTATTTATTGACTGCCTACTGTATTATTATATTTAAGGCACTTGTCTTGGCTCTCAGGATACAACAGTAGAAAAATCCAAATCCTTGCTTTTAGCAGAGCTTCTGTCTTAGTTGGGGAGAGATGCACTAAAAAAACCAGATATATAATGCTTTATAATGTTACATGATGATAACTGCTATACAGAAAAATAGAGCCAATTAAAGGGGAGAATGCTGTTAGAGAAAGGATACTGACTGTAATTTTATATTGGGAGGTCAGAGAAAGTCTTGCCTGGAGAATATGACATTTGAGCAGATTAAGAACAATTCCCAGTTTACACAGGAGATAATCAGAGGTTGACCAAAATGACAGTTTTGTCCTTCATCTGACTCTACTCCTAGTGATAATTTCAGCAGCATAACAATTTATTGAAACTGATGAGTAAACAAATCATTTCAAATGAAAATCTACACCAAATGACTGTAGATACCAAAACCCAAACAAACAAACAAGAAATTGAACTATTCTTATTTCATAGCATCCGTGCTCTTTTAGGAGATTAATGATTTGATGGCCATTAACATAACTTACTGAGAGATAATGACATTGAGAGAAAATTAGCAGAGGAAAAACAAATCATTCTGGTTCCCTAAGAAGAAACCCTGCATGCTGGGTAAAAGAGAAAAAAGAGGAAAAGAAGAAAGCCAGAGCTGAAAATCTTACCATTCTAGAAAGAGAAAGCTGGAGGTGAGATTATATGCTAAAATATTTAGTGTAAATATTTCATACAGGTGTGATCTGTAGTACAGCACTGTTGTTACAGAGAATTATCAATATGAAAACAATTGCTGTTAAAGGATTAGATTAATTAAAATTTCAACTACTTCAACCACACCCTAAATCTCTCTAATACCAGCAACAATAAAATTTATGTAAGAAAAATAACTTCCTCCTACTTGTGAAAGCAAAGAACACTTCTTGTTGCTAAATCTAACAGATTCAGGCATTAGCAAATGTAAGCATTATTTTGTGGCCAGCAGGCAGCCTTAAATAGATCTTAATTTAAGTCCTACAAGCAACAGATCCTTAGCTGATTGTCTATGGACAAAGCAGAAAATATTTATGACTATGCTGATAATATTTATACCATTAAGAGATGCCTAAATAATTAAGCAGATATTGCTGCTAAATATTTCTATAACAATTAGAAGAAGATTGTGATGTTTAATTTCATTTAAAAAATAATGTAATATTTTACCACTGGGAGAACTGAAGTTAGTTATTAATTAGCACTTTGTAGCCAAAGTGCAGTGTTATTATTCTTCTTTAATGTCCTTTCAGAACTTAGAAGGATAAATAAAATTTTAGATATGTTCGTACTATTTCTATGGACAGAAGTGTCTTCCTTCTGGTGACACTTTGAAAAGAACATCCTTTCACCTAAGATCTGCTAGATCCTTCAGAGTTAAAAAAGAAAATCCTATATAAGCAGTATATAGTGTAATACTTGTGGTTCCTACCATTGTGAACTTGCTTTTCCAAGCTTTACCTATTGGCAAAATATTGGTAATGACAGTTGGAACTATAGGGAATTCTCATGGGAGATCTGTTACAAACTTGTAAGTTACATGCCAAGCAGGCACGTAACTTACAAGTGGCTGTGAGAAGCATTTGAGTTAACACTTACATAGATTGTGAAAAACACTGAGACAGAGCTGCCTCCCAACCATTTGCATCTGGCTCATCCTTGCTTGTTTTATTGGTAAGGGACAGTAAGGAAAAAAAAAAAAAAGACACAAAGGCAAGGGGAGCAGAAACTGCATTCTGAGATAGCACTCCAGGTCTGTTCCCACTGTGACTTTGAAATGGACATCACTATGGCTTTGCCAGTGCAAGGCTTTCGAAGGATGAAGAAACCACTAGCACAGTCCACTGCTCACCTCTCAGACAGACAGACCATGAGCAACATGCTTTAGCTGCTAGGCTGGGCTATCGCCTTCAGGAGATGGCTTTTTCTCCTCTTTAAATACAGCTCATTGGGAGCCAACCAAGCAGGACAGTTTCTGGGAGGCTGATGATTGA